GTCAACGATCATCGCCCTCGAATTGGCCGCGGCATCACCACATCAGCCATCCACCACCCACCAATGAAATCACCCTTATCGGTGCTTTCTGGGAACTAATGCAAGCGAGTGATTGGTTGTTAAAGGCCATTCATTGTCGTCCATATCTAGACGACCTCAAGCTTGCGCCTTGTCGTCTTGCAAAGTTCTGCCACGGGTATTTCATTGCCAGCTGCCCGAATTCCAGCCAGATTCTACCTTTCGACAAATGTTCCACGAAGACCTAACCTCCCAATGCAACTCAGCCAGAAAAGGCTATCGAACGCCTCAGTCGATTCTTGCGCTATTTCGACCTGTGGCACAGCTCTCATTACTTACGCTGCACGCCGGTCGACAACCCGCCATAAAGCCCAAACGTGCTTTTACATTCGATTTACGCCTACGATATATATTTGAATGAAGGAAATCGGCTTACTTACAACGTAGGCGCAAACCTAGTAGTCTTATCTTTCCTCTATGCGTGGCACCATGAGCGACAGTATGGGCGACTCTACCACCGGTGACGGCATCTTGTGCTCGATATCAGACCAAGAGGGGATAAATATCATTGGTAAAGATATCGATGGCGGTATAGTGGTGGAAATCTTATCATCCGGCCGCATCTACCGCAGCATGAAGGTTATGCGTTATTTCACTGGGACGAATCAGGCAGAGAAATTGTCTTTTCTCCGACGCATTCGGCACCAGAGCTTCGTTAATGTCTACGCCATCCTCCCCTCGGAAGTAGACGAGGCAATCGTCTATTTTGATATTATGCCCATAAAGGTTATTGACGTGTGTGCGCAAGCGTACGCCGAACTCAGCGAGCTAAACGTCGCAGCAATCCTGGGTCAGGTAGACTTCAGCATTCTAGCTGGCAAGGGACTTCGTTGACGGCCACAGGTGTTGCAAGGCGTAGTATTTCTCGAAAACAATGGGCTTCGGCATACAAGGTTCGACAAGTTCCAAGTGCTAGCCGACCTGGCTGGCAACATCAAGATTCGTACGTCCCGCGATGATGCAGCGTAGGCTTTTCTAACGTGCAACTAGGTGGCCAAGAATGGTGCAGTGTCGGTACCATCTATCCCGTCCTGAACGGCCTGATGTCTTTCACCTGCCACGTAATGTTTCCTTGGCGCTTCAATCATCAAGTGGAAAGCACCAGAAAATGGGGGAACCAGTCGCAGGTTATGAATTTCTTGAGTGAGCTGACTGCCGCTGCATCAACGAAGAACCTTGTCACGGTAACTGCACCCAATGCCCTCAAATGCATACATTCATTTTGACGGTATACAGCACCCGTTGTTACAGCTTCCTTGGAAAAGGATCATGTGAAAGACTTGATTGTGGTTGCGGTGTGGAAAGCAAACATGGCCGCAGGTAGACTTTCGCGATCAGTGCAATCTGATGATGATGTTTCTTTTCCGCCCATGACGGAAGTCGGAGGCACTACATAAGAGTCGCTAAGCCTATTCTAGAATTGCCCAAAGCTTGGTTCCGAGCTAAAGGAAGCTGTCATCTGATGCCTGAATTCCTCTTATATCCTTCTGTCGGTGGACCGGGGTAGCCCTGTTAGGGAGGGACCCGGAGAAGGGATTCCTGGCCTATATAGCAGGAACGCATGAGGACTTCCTGAGTAAGGAAGGCAACCCCTTTTATGCGTGGGCACAGCCACGTATGCGTGGGTAGAGCCCATTACTCAGGAGGTCCCCAGAAGTCCGTAAGACCTCCTGTATAAATAGCCCCTTCAGACTGCCCCTTTAGACATAGAACATGCATCTTGAACCTTCGTGTGTGACCCCCTTCTTATTCCGATGTGTATTGGCATAACGTTCCACCAACAGATCCGATGGGAGTCTGACCCGCATCGCAAGGGCCATCTAATCGCGCAAGAAACCATTCAATCCTGTGGGAGAACATAAACTTTTTTGGTTCTTTTACCGCTTTCTTCCTACCTCCTCACCTCTAACCCCGGCTACCCCGCCGTCTCTTACCACCACGGGATCAAAGGTCTGCCTTCGTGGGTGCTCTAGACTTCTTCGGCCGACTTTTCCGTCCATAAGCATTCGAAACCATTATTAGATGTAACGACTAGATGTCATGATCGACTTCTTGCTCCCGGACCCCGGCGACAGACCGTTTGCCTCTTTTCTCTTGCTTCCTCCTAGCACTCGTCCTCCCACCATCTCCGTTTACCATGCCACGAGAACAGGCAGCCACGGTCTCACCTGAAGCGCTTCGTCGCACCTCGGAGGGCCACCAGTACGCCGTCCCGATCTTCCAAGGATACATCAGCGACGACCATGAGGACGATCACCCAGTCTATATTAAGCGGTACGCTCTAACCCCGGCACCGTTTGGCTCCGTCTGACACTCTCTGTAGAAACTCTGTCCTACATTTGGCGTTATTCGTCCCTTGGGAAAACTTCATTTCTGAGAGCCTAGGTGATATAACCGACATATGGACGACTCATCGGGCGGGCCTTTGTCCCCGTATCCGTTTCTACGTCTCTAACATTTGTCTTTTGAGAAAGTCTTGTCGAAGACGCGCGTAAGGACGCGAAGCTCTGGGCCAGTCGATCGGAGGGCGACGAGTCGACGACACAATTGACGTTGAGTACCCACTTGACGATGGCCGATACGAAGAAGAGTCTCCAGCACTGGCTCATCGTCAGGCCTACAGAGCTCTACTCCAGATTTTGCGAAATGCCGTGCAGGACACGGACGCCACAAAAGACTCCACCGTCCTTGGAGGTTTAATACACGATCTGTGCGAAGAGAACCTGACTGAGGAAGAGCAACCTTTTGTCCAACGTCAAGAGGGTCTGTACCGGAATATAGCCCATGATCAAGGTGACGGCTTGTGCCAATTCCCAATATCTCGAGACGATGTCCAAGCAGCGACCAAGGCCCAACAACTATTGCATCTTCGGATGCTAGACGACATTGAGTGGTTCTCAGGGGACCATGCTTTCCGCGGATGGCGCCGACATCGACGATACCCTAGCTCGCTACGGCGATACGGAACCCACCATTGCGCCGCCGGGAAGTGACCTCAATCAACAAGGGCCTCGAATGCTTGTCGACGTCAGTCCGATGGGCCGGTGGCTAGCTTCGCGGAGATGGGACACGCCACTGCGGCCACCTTCACTCTGAACTATCTACAGGCCATGGCCCTTCAACTTGTTTGCGCATTTCTGGACAGGTATACCGCTAATCAGGACTCAGCTGGTCAACATCTCCAGTATACCGGCGGGCCAGGCGGCACGGGAAAGTCGAGGATCATCGATGCCCTGAAGGACGTGTTCGCGGCGAGAAATCAGCCACACCTTCTGCAGATAACCGGCACATCAGGCAGTTCGGCGGCCCAGATTGGCGGCACGACCATCCACTCAGCGTGTGGGTTGGATTCCCATCGCGATCCAAACAAACCGCCTCCCCCTTTCAGGCCTTTCTCGGAGGCGAAGAAGTGGATATGGAAACAGAAGCTGGTACTCGTGATTGACGAGGTCAGCATGCTGGGAGGAGCCACTCTGCACAACGTCAGTCGTCACCTGCAGGTACTCCGTGACTGTCCGGACGAGCCGTTTGGTGGGATGCCTGTCGTTCTACTGATGGGAGACTACCAGTTCGCCCGTGCGAAACAAGCCTACTGATCATCAGACCGCCGGACCGAACAGAGACCCCTGCGACAAGCGAGAATCTCTCACCACAGCGGCTGCAGATTGTGGCATCTGTTCAAAACCGTGGTGCTCCTCGAAGACCAAGTCCGCGCACGCAACGATCCCCAGCTCCGCGCACTCTAGATCGAGTTCGTAACGGGCGCCAGACCCAGCAAGACCTCGACTTGCTCAACGCCAACATCGTAGGACGCTCCCAAATCACCTTCCACGATGGTTTGCGTGCTATAACGCCACTGAACCCGGTGGGCCCTCAACATGGAAGCTGTCGTGGGTTGGGCGCGCTTCAACAAGCAGCATATCCGTATCTTTGTCTCGACTCACACCTGGCGCAACGGCTCGCTTTCTCCAAACATCGTAGCGCGAACCATGGGAAAAGGTGACGACTCCGCCTGCAAGGTCCCCGGCGTCTTCTTCTATGCCCAGGGCATGCCTGTGGTTGTGAACAAGAACATCTACACTGGCTTGAAAGTTGTGAATGGGGCCGACTTTGCCGTTGACGTAATACTCGATCCCAATCACCCAGGATACTGCTTGGCAGATGACGTGACCATCCACTTCGGGCCGCCGCTCGGCATTCTTCTGCAGTCCGAGGAGACGAAGGCTTTGGCGATACCGTCCCTCCCGGTGGGGACGGTGCTCATCCGACCCATGTCACATACGCTCGATTCGACTAACTCTCACTTCAGATTCTTGTCCGCAAGATGCACGCGACGTGGATTGCCCGTTGTACCAGCGTTCGTTCTCACTGATTACAAAGCCCAGGGTAAAACGTTCGTGGAAGTACTGTTGGAGCTGCGTGGAAATTGTGTGACCAATGGTGAACCCTCCAAGTGCGATTTTACGAGCCTCTATGTGCAACTGTCCAGGTGCACCTCGCTTCGGGGCATCAAGCTTCTTGGTCCCGTGAGGTACCATGATTTCATTGGCAATGGGCTGGATCAGGCCATACTTGATGGAATGCAGAGACTCAAGAACTTGGCCGCGGAAACGAGACGGTTATACGAGGACCAAGGTTTCGAAAAGTAGTGGCAGTATACTAGGTAGCCATCCTGATTGTTTGACCTTTCGTATGTCGAGCCACGATCGGCCAGCTTCTACTCGATCTGCGGTGCTGTCGACCAATCAAGCCTATCCCTTCACCGACCAAGCATGGCTGCTGACATGTCCATCATGTGCGACTCCATCCTCTGCTTTACCCTGCTCCATTGCGACCATCATTTGCCTCATCGCCGTCCCACTTGTCCCGCCCGGAGCTCGACCATACACGGACTCAGCAAACATCCGAAGCTGCATCGGGAATCAGGAATCCCCATATTGCTCGATGATATCGCTCTTTTCCACCGCGCTTCGTAGGTCGTGCCATTGCGATGGGGTCATACCGAGTGTCTCACACTCTTTCTTCTTCATTGCATCCCACCATGGCGGCAGTAAACCGGGACAACGCTCGACGCGCTCCAGGAAGCGCTTGAAGCCACGCAGCCCGTTGCCGGCACCACCATATATGCTATCCGCGTCTGCTTCGCCTTCAATGTTGTACATGTCCTCAGCGCGCAGTCGGTAAGCGTCGATCAGCAACCCGTAGACATCTCTTTCCGATCGATCATGGAGCCAAGTGCGATTTTCAAGACGCGTGAAGGGCGGGCGACGCCCTGTTCCAACCCCTTCGGAGGCGACAAATTTGCCGTTGTAGGCCCATCTTGAAACGATGTCGTGGCATCGGCCTGTTTGCCACAAACCTTCTTATGGACCTTCCAGTCTGTCTTCTGGCAATCCCTGGAGCAGTACGGCGTGGTGGAACATTTCGCGCACCTCTTGAGGGCGACTTCAGGCGGCGACTTCTTGCAGCTATTGCACTCAAGGGCCATGGTGACCTAATTCCCATGACCAAATCGTGAAGATTGCGTTCTGAAAAAATGTCGAATCAATTTGAAGCTCATTTATGCCGCAGGGAGAAGATGAGGGGTAGCTTAGGCTTAAACGGATAGGTGCTGTAATGGGTCCAAGCAGCCGCACTCCCCTCTCTTCTCCAACAGAACTTGTCTAAGAACCAACCCGAATTCTCGCGCTCGGTTATGCCCAACTCTCGTCCCGTTCCTCAAGGCATTGGCGGACCCTGAAAGGGGCCGGTCTCCTGTCTCCTGTGCCTTTCGTGCCTTGAGGAACGAAAGGCTCCTTCTTCCGCCCCCTCCGTAAGCTCGGACCACTTAGCGCCCCGTGCATTTTCCTGCCACTGCACCGCCACTGATGCCCGAGTCGTCAAGGCACAACGCCTTCTTCCCTCCCCGCACCGCAAAAAGCGCTGACCGCCCCGGCCCCACTACCCGGCCGACTGACCCTTCCGACTGACCCCCCCTCCGCCAGCTCCAGAGACCTATCGACAGCGCCTGGGAGGCAGCTCTTTCAACACCCCAAAGTCCTTTCCTTTCCTTCTTGCTGACGAACCTGACTGGGACTGAATTCTTCTTGTCTTTCTTCTTGAACAGAACCGGTTTTTCCTCCTCCGGGCACTCGATCTTAGTCATCCTCGATCGCAATGCCGCGAGAACAGACGGCCAGGGTTTCCCCCGAAGAGGTTCGCCGCACCCTGAAGGATCTTCAGTCGCAGCGCCGGCCACAGCCTGTCAGAGTTCCCAACGACGAGATTCTTCGTGTGTTACAGGATATGGACCGCCAGCGCGCTGAAGACCGAACCCGCCGCCGTGAGGCCCAATACCGATATACCGCACACGCAGCCGCCAACCACTCCATCACCGAAACGACCTGGGCAAGAGCAAGCGCCTCCCCTCCACCGCCGACGGAGCCAGCGCTCCCAAAAGACCCCGGCCGATGCGAGAAACCGTTCAACTTCAACGAGACTCTGTCGAATCCATACTGCATCACTATAACGCCACTTTCCGCGTCAAGGAGCAGGCATCATCAACAAGATCCTGGTGCAACGATGTCCCCGTTGCCCTCCAGGTAGAGGCTGCTAAATCTTTCTACCAAGCGTTTACCGAAGAACGGACGTTGCCGATTTCCCACCGTCTTCTGCTATAGGAAGACACCGCCTTGCGAACTCGCCACCATGCAGTGGAGGGTTTCTTGTCGCCCTCCATGCTGCGGGCGACCAGGACTATCCAAGAGTGTAGCGCGTGCCTTCCGTCACCAGAGGGCGCCAGAGTTGACGTGTGCCGTGAGTGTCGCGTCAGCTTCGACAGTGGACGGCTGCCTAAAGCCTGCTCGGTCAACAACATGGCCATCGGTTGCGAACATCGGTACCCCGACGAGCTTGATGACCTCTCCGGTTGAAGAGAGACTCATTGCCCTGCACGCACCTTTTGGCTATATCACCAAGTTCACGGTCGACAACAAGACCCGTTCGGGAATCAGCTACCGCAAGCACGTGAAAGGGCATATCGTCGTCTTTCCGAACAAGGTGGACGATCTTGTGGCCACGGTTCTTCCCTATCCTCTACTGCAGGCCATTGAAAACATTCACATCTCTTGGGATGTCGGCGCAATGGAAAGGCGCCATGTATTTGGTTAAGGAGCACCCCCGCCTATTTTCGTTCTCCTGCGTGTATGCGAGTCGCTATGGGCAGCCCGGAAACGGTGTGATACGAGACGCAAATCCAGAAGCCCGCCATTCTCCGTCCGGCGTATCTGGCTACCATCTAGAGGCTAGCTCTAGACCGCGCCGTCACGTCGCAATTCATCACCGAGCAGACTTTTGAGCTGGCAGCCCTCCACCCGCGGCACTGACCGTTGTCCACGACCGGCTCGCCGCCATGCCGCCGTAGGCTCCGCCTAGCAAGCCTCCGGGCCGAGAGATGTACGATGAGGTGACAATGTGCTCAAGTCAGAAGCGTCTACGGCTTTGTAAAGCGGTATCAATCTGACTGACGACGGATCAGTGGATGAAGTCGTTTCCCAGACGTGGTGGCCGGTCCGCCTCAACATACACAGCTCGCGTGTGTTTGCCAGGTACCGGTATCGCTTTGTCTACCTTTTTCGAATATTTGCCAACTTTTGTGCTCAAATCATCCTCCGAGAAGCGCCTGCGGCTTTGTGAAGCTGTATCAATCTGACTGATGACGGATCAGTGGATGATGTCGTTTTCCAGACGTGGCGGCCGGTCCGGCTCAATGTCCGGTGGCGCCCACCTGGTGGTCCAATGGCCTGCGTGCTCCTCTGCACCCATGCCAGTATCGACAGATACTTACCGGTACCCCATTAGGGCCAACAGGCGTAATGAAGAGGCGATCATTCAGTGCGAGATGGCACGTATAATGGAACTTGTAAAGGCAAATATTGCTCCCGCTGATCGGTTGGAAGCTCTATAGCCCCGCCAGGCAGTCGTCGTAACGCCTCCCATGTCTCCGCTTGTATTGGAAACGCAGCTGGGCTCGCGCGAGGTGTCATCGTCGTTCACCGGTGAATACAACTGCCTAACGCTTGCTGGTTCGTGCGAGGCTGTCGTCCTGCGAGCTTTCAAGCTTAGATGGGGTCGTGCCCTCGGGTTGTCAGCCTGAGTATCGACACCGCTTTCGAGGTCGTCGTTATTGTCGTTGTCATTGCCTCATTCTCTGGGAAGCAATACTTTTGGCAGGGGGCGGCCAGGCAGGGGGACTCTGCTCGCAGGGGCTTGGCTGGCCGCGGTTGTGATTGTGCCGCCGGTATGAGCCTTTGAACATGTGCCTTTGGACATCTAGTAGCGGTTCTATCCTATGGCGGAATAATGGTGAACTCAAGTGAGTGGTTGGCGGATGATTGGTACTGTAGGACAAAATTACCAGCTGTCGCACAGGAGAAGTTCGGGGGAGAAGGTTGGGTACAGAAAACGCGGGGTGTCACTCCTAGACCCTTCCGCTCATCATGGGTGCCTGTGATTCCCGTTACCGTACCTGCGGCCGATTCTGGCTTCACAACAGTGCAGCAAGTCCTCGTCTTGGGCGATTGACAACACCCTAGCTTCTGGCTGCTTGGTAGTACTGAGCTGCAAGGGCTGCAACCCCTTCATGATAAGGAAAATCGTCTTTACTGCGGCCAGAGTGAGCTGGCGTCGAGTAGCATTGCTGTCCCCACCAGGCAGCAGCGGAAGGGTCTAGGAGCGACACCCGAGTTTCCTCGCCCAACCCGTTCCCCGCAACTCGTCTCTACAACAGTTGGTAAGGTAGTCATGCCAGCCCGCCGCCAACAACAACTTCACCATCACTCTACCGCGGTTGCAACAATTCTCTGCTCACAGACCAGCGTACCGGTATATCATGGAGACACATTTTGATGAAGATAGCGCATGGTATGGCCAGCATGTCTTCCTCCTGCCAACCCATCCGAGATTGGCCATGGACGAGCCGATCCGCTTGCTTGGCAGTCGCTCGTCAAGATCTCTAGCCGTGTTCGCGGCTGGATCGTGCTACTATTAATCCGCGCTGCGGCAGTCCCTGACGTCGCCGTGATCAGCAGGCAATTCGAAAGCCTCCTCAACGGAAAACTGGACGAGTGCCTCGATAATTCGCGACTTGCCGGTCCCGCCGTCGCCGCCGACGCCGTGGAGAGCTCCTGCGAGGCCTATGCCTGTACAACTACGTATCGCTCGTCAGACTCAAACGCAACAGCAACGACGGGATCTGTATGCGTGGGAGGTGCCTTTCGATGATGGGCGGGGAGCCAGGAAGACGCTGGGTTCAGGTGCTCAGGCGGCTGGGAACTTCTTGATCGTTTGGAAACTTCCCTGATGTGAAGCCAGTTACGTAACACTTTGTTTAACAGACTGGGCCCTCTCTTGCGAGCTGCCTCTTTCTGTATTCTGTTATGTCTTTTGCGCGACATTTCTTTTAATCGCGTGAACTTTGAGCTGTTCCAGTGAGATTCTTGTGATGCAGCCTGATATGGGCGCACTCGGCTTCCTAGAATTCAGGTACTTCCTCTTTGCCGAGGAAAAGAGGAAATGTGAATCTTCGAGGTCGCGAGGCAGTGCAGCAACCTCGCGGCTCGTCCCGTGGTGACTGTGGTAAGGAGTAAAACATCAAAGCATTGGAGACAATCAATTCAATGCTCCTTTGCCGCATTTCTAGCCAACATGAGTGTCCTCGTCGCATTTGACCATCAAGCACCAAAGTAGGCTGCGTCACACCATCCACATCATCACACCTGGCAAGCTAGCTCGCTCAGTCTTTCTTCACACCACCTTACCCAGGCATGATGCACCACCTAGTAAGGATTCTGAGGCATCGCTTCGCAAGCCGCCACATCCGTCCCAAACACTGTCCTCCTTCACACCCTCTGCCGAAGATGGCTGCCACACTTGAACGATTGAGGTTATGTCGAGAAAGCTCAGGACAGCAGGAGCGCATTCCGACTGAAGCGTGGCTGGAGCGTGCTTCGGCGGCTTCAAGTGGTGTGAAGCATAAGCAATATAAGCAATAAGTCTAGACCCTTGTCAGGTACGTATTACACCACTTGCCGGTATAGTGCGGGAGCAGTCAGGGGCATGTTTTGGCCTGGGTGTCACGAAGGGAATCACATTTTTTTTGAGCGGTTGAGCGGTTGCAGAGCTTTCTTGTCCAAATGTCTAATTGCGCCTACACGAGCATCAGGCTCTCGACAATGCAGCAAATCCAAGACGGAGCTTCTTGGTGGCGAATGGTTCTTCCATTTTCACACTCTTCAGTACAAAAACAAAGGACGAGCAGATCGCGTGCCCTCGTTGAGCCGTATCAAAGTCTATGGCCCTTTTGGCCTTGCTCTCTGCCGCTCTTTTCTTTCTTACATACCATATTTACTCCGAATTTGCTATGTCAGAATCGCGTCGAACTCAATTACCCTAACATGTTAGGTACTAGCGGTGTCAACTTCCCCCAGCAATCGGGAAATTTGCCTCGCA